GAGCCGTGATGGCGCAGTGGTTAGAAAGGCAGTACTGCAGGCTAATTCTGCTGACTCCCAGCAGTTCTAATTCTGCTGGCTCAAGGTTGACTCAGCCTTTCATCCTTTTGAAGTTTGTAAAATGAGGACCCAGATTGTTGGGGGCAATATTATGCTGACTCTGTAAACCGCTTAGAGAGGGCTGTAAAGCACGGTGAAGCGGTATATAAGTCTGCTATTGCTATAAATCTTTTCTCATTTGATGCCCAGAGCATTTAGTTTGGCACAGGGTAAAATTTCTGTAAAAAGTAACATCCCAGTTAAAGCAATTCCAATCCCAGGCAACTGAGCTTAACTCTTACACACAGACCTGTATGCTTGAATAGCTGCTGATGTATTTTTCATCTCCATGTATTCATGCCCCATAAGGGTCCATGCTCCAAGGTATCGAGGATTCAGCTTCAGGGCTCGCTGGAAATAGAGGGCTGCTTTCTCATGCTGGGAACGCAAACTGTAATAGTTCCCTAAGTTAAATAATAATAATAATAATAATAGCTTCACTGGCACTGTTTAAAAGGGGAAAAAAATCACAGTTTCTTCAAGAAAAGAACATGAAAAGTTTCTCACCAATTACACAGCAAGTTTCTACACGGTACTTGTCAATCTCACATAGGTTATGGGCCAAATAGCTCAATTCGGGCTTCATACCCTAGTAAGGGGAGGGGAAAAAAGTGGGGGGGAAATGAAAATTTACTCCGTTGCAAAAGGAAATTAGGAAGATAAGATAAGATAACCTTTATTGTCATTTTTTTACTGGGCACAATGGCACACATCAAAAAATGAAATTTAGTTGCCCGCTCTCAAAGTGAAACACATATATGACACACACCTAAAACATACTATATACAACATATGTACAGACCCACACCCCTACATATCCGTAACAAATAAATATTAAATACTGTCCATCTTGAATATATAATGGAAGGAGAAATTCAGCCACTTGGTTAACTACCTAGTTCACTTTAAGAATTTAACTGCCACACTACAATTGTAGAAATAAATCCATCAAGCGAGCTCTACTAATATGTTACTGTTTTTTTCTAGATAACCAAGCGAAGAAAGGCATAAAATTACACCACAACCTTATTTGATTATTGTAGCAATATTGTAACCCAGGGGTCTTCAATCTTGGCCCTTTTATGGCTTGTGGACTTCAACTCCCAGAATTCCTCAGCCAGGCACACCGACTGAGGAATTCTGGGAGTGGAAGTCCACAAGCCATAAAAGGGCCAAGTTTGAAGACCCCTGTTGTAACCAAATAACACAACCACTATATTATCTAGTTTTCAGTAAAGCCACAGCAGATGGCAGCATTAGGTAACTGGCCGATTTTGGAAAGAGATAAGTACTTGGAGAAGATGGGAAGGCAAACAAACATCCTGAAAATGACCCATGTTGCCAAAAAAACCTACATGGATGTATCAAAGTAAGCATCATCTTGATTTAAAGGGATCTTGGTTTTCAGCAAAAGTGTAAGATGTTTTAGTGATTTGGAATGTTTGAAAATTATTTGTAGTAAAGTCACATGCAACAGTCTGTGTATGTCCTCCCTTCCCTGCTTTTTGTCCTCTTCTCCAGCACTTTGATGCATGAAGATGGACTGCATCTTTCTATATCAAAGTATGAGTAGGTTAGGAAGAGATGCTGTGCTGGTGTGTGTGTGTGGAACAGGGAATAAGGAGAGTACTGCAAGGGAGAGTGGCAAAACAGGCCAAATGAACAGAAGACGTCTAATCCAAAGCTGGCTGCTGATTATATGGAAACTGGATTTCTGTGCAGAGGGTGACTGAAAGCATTATAAGAAGTGGAAGCTGCTCCAGAGAGTGCTGACAGTTTGAATACATTGTATGGCTGTGAATAACATAATACTAATCGGGAGTATTTTGTTAAAATATGGCTGAGAAAAAAGGTACTTACTCTGACATAAAGCAAGTTGGAGAAGGTATCCATATTTTCTATCCTGAAAGGGTCTTGTTTTCTTAATTCATTAAAGATGGATAATGCTTTGTCGATATCTGAAGAAAAAGCAACATGACACGATCATAAATGATTTAGATGAGGAAATAGAAGGAGAACTCATCAGATTTGCAGACAACAGTAAACTGGCAGGACTAGCCCACACCCCAGAAGATAGGCTCAAGATCTAGATGGATCTCGACAGATCTGAACACTGGGCCCTATCTAACAAAATGAAAATCAATGGTGAGAAAAGTAAGGCTTTACACTTAGGCAAGAAAAAACAAATGTATGTGTACAGAATGGGTGGAACCTTACTCAACAGCAGCAATTCTGTTAGTGTTAGTACTGTTTTACAGTGCTTTGGTAACACCACACTTGGAATTCTGCCTCCAGTTTTGATCGCCACAATA